TCAGTGGTCGTCCACTCAGACGAGTCGTACATCGATAGCTATCCATCTTTGCCCGAACAGTGTGAAGTGCACACAGATCACACGATCGTATCCGATCATCACACGAGAATATGCATAGTGCGTTAACATGAATAAGATCATGTCGTGATTTCTATGTAGGAACTCACTAGCGCGACTTGGGAAAGTCAGACAGTGATTGGAGAGAACACGTCGATTGGTGAGTGCGGCGTTCGCTTACCAGCCGCTCGACATCGATCGATTTCTCGAGACAGGCTACTCCGGCCATCTCAACGAGATGACGACACTCCTTATGGGGTTGCCAGAGTCCACTCAAATCGGAGAAGTTTTAGCCGCAACGTAAGTCGCGGAACGGCAGTAGCGAATCGTGCGTTCTCTCTGGTTTGTCAACATCCATCTCAGCTCAGTGGTAAAGCTTCCACTGCTCCATGAGCAGGCGACCTGGAAGGTTCTCATTTTACGTTTCAGTGGTGTTCTTTTCCACGACGACAAGATGCAGTACGCTCTAAGCACTGACTCTCCGGGCACGAGATCTACAATACATTCGGGAGCTAGAATGGATCTCAGTGAGAAACTGCGGCTTGACATTTGTTGTTATTCCCGATGGAATCATCTCAGAGTCGTTCGAAGGTAAGGCCGTGAAAGAGCTGATATTAGTTTACGAAGGGGAAGACGTCATTCGCAAAGGTCAAGTAGTAGTTCCTCCGACGAGTACAACAGTTGCCGAATACCACTCCAGGCGCTCGTATCTGGCCAAAATCTTAATAGTGCGCTACTAACCGATGACCAGAACAGAGCTGTCGAGCTATCATATGTCGCGGTGTCGAGATCGCGGACTTCAGCAGCTGAGGATGTTGTCATTTTGTGTCATCATTTGGCAACAGGAGGGAAGTTTTATATTATTCGTTGATGCATGCTGATGTATACTCGTTTTCCGACAGTATTTGTGTTTAAGTATTCCCAACGAGATGTCTAAGTTGAAGGTAATGAGAAGAATAAGCGCTTGCAGCTACGACTTATCTCAATTGAGTGTCCGACAGTCGTAGTATATTCTCGCAACGCAATTTCATAAAATCTACCTTTCGGACTCGTACATTGTACATTATCCAAGGTAGCCCGAATATCTACATGAGCCAACATAACAAGAGGATGAAAATCTATAGTTCCCAGCATATTTCGGGTATTCAGCAGCGACGTGATACCCCGGAAAAAAGATTGCTTCCTTCCACTGAGGTTATATTTCTTTCATCTTTCCGGTCGTTATCATATGAAATCCATGATAGTCGAAACATCCCCGATAATCCTCAAGCGTTCACCTCCATCGCGACTAGTTCATTCCCCACCCTGTTGCGCATGATTTGAAACGCATGAAACACTCCTTCTCCCTAAGGGCAATAGAAAGTATTGTGTTAAAATTAAAGCAGCGATGGAGCATCAATCCGACCATGAGCTGGCTATGCACAACAAGTTTCAGATGATAAACCGAGCACACTGCACACCCCTAAACTGGAACTCAAGACATGTAATTCCAACAACCAGATCAGCAATCAACATATTCATGTCATTATAACGAGCATGCCCAACTGATTCATCTCCTATGGCTATGCTGCCTATTCAGCAGTCTACCCCCGCCACCTCCTCCTCCCGCAAAGCTCATCGAGGTACGGCTCATGTACCTAGGGATACCGTTAATGCATCGAACGATTTTCTAGAGACGCTCTTCTTACGTGTTATACACATCTGGACGAGCATGTGTACTCTCACCAACTTCGACCAGATTCCGTGTACTGCCTGCAACGAGTGACTTTACTACCCGAGTATCTACTGACACACTACTTGATCCTGAGCCTCCTACGCTGCTGCCAGACGCTCCCCCGGCCAATGAGGCCAGATTATGAGGCTGTCTTCGGAAGACAGTTTTCCCTCCGCGAGATGTTACCATCGACGATTTTGCATTACTATTACGTCGAGTTGCTGGAAACGAAAAAACAATTTTCCAAAGACTACAGAATGAGCGGCGGAAGTGGAACGAATATTGGCCACTCTCGATGAGAACGGGAGATGTGTAGCAACTAACTGGGGAAAAACCTACCTTGCAAGCTCCCATTTTTGCCACCCCCTCTACCACCCCTCTTATTGGTGTTCTTGAATACTGTCGATCCACTTGTTACTCCCATTGGATTCACCCCCTTCTGCCCATGAGAGTTGGCCGATCGTCCTGATTCCAACATTGACGAGCTGTGATGGGTGCTGTACGCCTGGGTTATGTTCGTGACCCCCGGCCAACCTGAAATTGTACACGTCCATACAAACTCCTACTAAGGATGCCCCACCTGGCTCAGCGCCATGCCTCATCCTCGCCAACGGCAATGGGGGCAAAGCCCCATTGGGAGATTCCGCTATCGCATGCAGAGACTCTCGAGGATTCAGCATAACCACATCCGCGACAAACCGACCCGGATCGTGGACTAGCGGAGCACTCTCATACGACCTATAACGGTGAACTCCAAAACCCTCGGGAGCTAACCCTACTTATGGCCCCCACCAGTCGTCTCTAGATAGGAATCAGTAGTAGCAAAGCTCCTAACAACACTGCATGCCACCAAGACACTACCTCGAAAGCTCGACCCACTTCTTCTCCATCTCCTCGTCCTCCTCCTCTCTCCTGTGGTCCCGAGTGGTCATCTCAGGATCCGTATGGGAGTCTTCCATATCTGTCACTAAATCTCCCAAAAGTCAACAAAAATTCGACTTATTTCACCCAAAACAGTGGCTGCTGGAGTAGGCATAATAAGCGTCGGCACATCTTGAATATCGGAGAGAATGTTGCCGGGGTGCGTCCTCGTACCAGCAACCCATTGACCACTCGTGACCCTGGAGGGTACAGCTGGCCCATCGGGGCAGTTGGGGTCCTACGAGTTCGATAAATATCCCCACTGAGAGGAAGCACGCTCACTAACCTCCTTTCTATTCTTGGCAAAGTAGGGCCTATTGAGGGCTTGATGAGCAGTAATACGATCATCTGCGAAAACCGTGACTCTATTCGAAGAATAATTAACGACCACCGACCAGGATTGTATGATAAGAGCTCCTGTAGGATGACCAGAAGCTCTGACGACCCATGCGGCAACAGCCTCGCAATTCCTGATGACAACACTGAGAAATGACCATCAGAATTCCGTTTAATACCAGTGCCATTTTGCTCAGGAAAACTGAAGTTCAAAAATTCCGGTCCGTGCCTTTTGAATCTTTCCAGCAACTTCGCTGGGGGAGTGCCTGGACCGAAGACGTGCGATGATGTGATGCACCCAGACCTACCGAGAATAGCGTGAATTCTGGTAATCTGATCGGTCTCGTCTCGACCGGGGAAGAGCGGGAAAAGCGCCATAACTTCAAAAAATACACAACCGACGCCCCAAATGTCCATTTTGAATCTAAAAAATCCGACAATTTCGCTCCAATGAAGAGCTCTTTTCCCCCACGTGTAGTAACCATCGGTCAAGAGGCACTCGGGGGGCCGGTACCAACGGGTGCTGATGTAACTGATGAAAAAAATACATTATAGGAATTAAGGGAGTACTCCTACTCAGTGTAGGGTTGCCGAGAATATATACCTCGACAACTACCAAGATCGGCTAACTTCAACATATCGTCAACCTGGTCGTTTTAATGCATCCAGAGACTTCGAAAATAAGCTCACTATAAGGAGGTTCTCAGGTTTGATATCTCGGTGAAAAATGCCGTTTCTGTGCATATGGTCCACCGCGAGCATCTAAAATGAAATAATAACCACTTCAGCAAGCGACCAAGTTGAGCTCACCAGCTGGTACATCCACTCACGGACTTTAACTTCAGGAAAATGATGACGTCGGTTTTTAATAGCCTCGTATCTGTAGCGCCGTCACAACAACGGTCCCTTGCAAGGCCTCACAGGTTCATGTCCATGAGCTCCATAACTAGGGCAAGGCGACCAGAAGGTTCATCGTAGAGTACCTCAAGAGAAATACTCATCTCGTACTCTGTGGAGGAGGAAGAGAATTCACTTCATGCAACTTTATTATATGTCGGTGGCCACCAAGGCGGCGAAGGGCTTGGATTTCACGTAGATTGTTAACCTAGAACGTCAGTCGATTCCACCAGGCTTTTGGAGCTCTCACTTGCTCAATAGATTGGAAGGTGTTCTTCATGCACTTTATAGCATAGTGACGATTGTTCCTCAGCGACTGGGCTTTGAGGACCTTATCACGGCAACAACAACAAAGACTCGATTGCCAATGGCTCTCTGAGGCTACCTCGCTGAAAGTGCCTTCACCTTTCTTAGCAACAAGTTTGTATTTATGCATAGAACATAGTGAGGCACCAGCACTGCTCAAATAGAGATTCTGGAGAGATCTGTGGCGAGCGAGAAAAAATGCGGGAGAAATGTCGTGGGGTGGATTTGAACCCGGGACCAGGATAGATCGAATATGGTATTCGATTTTTCTATCACAAACTGCCGAGGTTCGAAAGGGCTACAAACCTCTGATGCGCCTTACTCTTGCCTTATATGAGAAAGTCATGTAATTATAACAAACTGCTTTTACCAAACTTTGCTGCCAACTCACTTTATCAGAGTTTTTGTTACATACTCGACAACGGTGTCTACTGCTACTACTGCTCACTAGGTGTAGAATGGGGTTGAAGGACAGACTAACGGTATACCTAGGAAAGCAGGGACTAGTACCGGATGATATACCCAAGGTTATTGGATGCTTTGTGGCTGGTAAATACATAACATGGTTTACTATGATTGGTATATGTATGCGGTATCAACCACTACGGAGGTGATAAGGGCTAGTGAGGAATATTACGGCGCTTTGGTTCGGATCTCACTGACAATTCTCCATTTTTTTTCATATTCGTTGATAATTGTCCATTTTTTTTCATATTTTTCATTTTTTCTCCAAATTTCCACGTGTCACCACAATTTGTGACACACTGGAGATGCCTTCCATTGCAGGACTTGGTATCACTTTTATCCTGAGCTACTGGCTCGGTCCGGTGTATGGCGAGAGAGGCAACGCGGTCGGTTGATCGAGCATCGGAGACGAGTGGTTTCCTGGGCTAATGAGAGGTACGCGTGAACACCATAGAATAACTTCTTCCTATACCAAGATTAGCAGCACGCGAGCGATTCGCCTGCATCAATTTTGAAGCGATTCTCTCCGTGCGTTATAAGTCTATTCCCACCTTCGTATTTTCACTAAAATCTCAAAATAGCGTCTTTTCGAATGCGTTTGAAGAAGCAATAGAAAAGTAGATGGAATAAACTCATCCAAGGGGCGACTCCTAGTAGTTGTATCTCTCTAGATACGAGCCCCTAGCTGATCGTATCAAACTCCAGCGTAGTACGAATTTCGGCCCTCGAAAGTGGGCCAATGGGCATCACTCCCACAATGGACGGAATCACCAATCATCCGGAGGCTCGACTGGGGAGCAACAACAGCAGCGTTTTCAGAACGGTCGGAGTCAACACCGAGAGACTCCTTCTATTCTGAAGCGGTTTTCTGTATCTATGTAGTAGTATGATGAAGAATTATTATTCCTATGAGATAGCGCATTTTCTAAGGTACAATCTCATGGAGAAAGCGGCCGCCAAAGTTGGTGATAATAAAGCCTGGGGCTTCATATCGACGAGGATACTCCATGTGAACTCTCGGACGTTCGCCTTTGCTGGTGAGTTATTCGTCTTAGTTGACTTGCTTTACAGTGGCTTCATTTTATTCAGTCGGTGAATCATTGATTCTCTTCAAATTGACCTTCATATTCCATGCTCCTCTAGTTCTATTCACAGTAGTTAGAGCCTTTCAATGGTGGAGGTACGTCGGCCTTGGTAAACGCATTTGGGACATGTATTGTGTTCAGAGGCGTGACCCCACCTCCATTGTTCGCTGAGTCGCCGTTGAAAACGATATCACAGTGGGCAGTCGATCTCAACGACCTCATGCAGTAAGTCTATTCCAAGGCTCGTCTCACGTACCCGCTGTTCTCCGTTTTATTGTTGTATTGGAAAATAAGTTCAAATCGACTGTATCACATTCGTCACAGGGTCAGTGACATGGTATACCAGTCGAATATTTTAATACCATAATTTCGTCAACTATATTCCGTCACAGCTAGACAGTAAAGTGAATAACTGCTGCTTTGCTTTGGCTCCTACTGGTTTATGAAAAAAATGGATACTAGATTCTATTGTTATATTGAAAATATGTTCGATTCGACTGTATCACACTCGTCACAGGGTCAGTGAAATGTGATGCTAGTCGAATATTTTGATACCATAAATTCGTCAACTATATTTCGTCACAGCTGGAGAGGATGGAATCTTGGTGTTTGTTCATTATCGGATGAATTCTATCATGCGAATGCAGCGTGAAAAGTATGCACATGGTCAACTACATGTGTTGGTGAACTCTGAGGCGATTCTCACTGGTTTCTACCCGAATTTGTGTATAGACTCATATCGTTAATGAGGCAACCCGTGAGCTCAGTTGAGGAAAACTTACTTCTATTTTTTCGCTGTAGACGTGTTATATTTTAGAGCGTCGATCGAGGACCCATTGGAGTCTCCTACAGCGGCCGATACTGCCAGTTCGCCTCCCTCCAGTGGCTCAGTCTCCAATGCTACTATCATAGCGAATGATACGCCACAGACTCCTGACGATATCGATTGAATGCCATCTTACTGTTCCTATCGATTTATTATTCACTATGCTAGTGCCTACATTTGCTTTGGAATTGTATTCTTGCGTTAACTCCCAGTGTAAGAAGAACACAAAACTCACGAAACACAGCACACGCTTACGAAATGATACTCGAAATGTCATCGCTTATTGTCACTCCTCATCTTAGACCGCCTTCTTAAATGGGCCTTCAGAGTCTCGGTGACCATCGGCCTTATGGTGTTCTCCCAAACGTCAGTTTTCCGCGTCTCGAAGGATACGTCAGAGAGAAACTGACCGAACTCAGCTCGAAATACATCGACACCTTTGAGGCTCCCTTGTTCAGCTTTGCTGGCCAGATGGGTGTATGGCAGGAAGTCTAGCCAGGGTAGGGACGTGGTACGCAATCTGTCGGGTCTAATACCTTCACAGTCGATACACGTGCTCACTACACCGGCTAGTCTCAAGTTCCATAGCATTAATGGGGTCGCCTCTCTCTCGTCAATAATTCGACTCAAGGGAAAACACAACATATTCACTCGTACGGCCCAGTGGACCAGGTTGGGCAATCTGTGGGGGAGCGACGCTACCGCACATATGTCATCAGTCGTGCCCTTGAGGATCATTCCACGCAAGATGATATGTGTCAACAGTTCGGGTCGACAGAGAGCTCTCGTCAAGATGGACCTCGTATCAACACCAATGATATGTGACATACACCCGACTAGACCGATACGACTCAGAGAAGGGTGAGATGACGCACTCGGAAGAATATCCACTACGGTACCTGAGGCCAACAGGCTGATGAATTCACCAGCGAATTTCTGATTCTTACATGGGCCCACACTATCATGATAACATAAGACGTCGAGTTGTCTCAGTTGAGAGCAGCCATCAACGAAGCCCCTGAGTTCATTCATAACGTCATGTCGGCAGAAGATATCGGCTTCCAATACTGCCAGCCTCGGGCAGCGCCCCTCAAGAGCCCGGAGTAGAGGCACGGGCGTCACCCTCAAATCCGCACTGTCCGTGTAGTTGCCGATGATTCTCAGGAGGCGTAGATTCGAGAGGTTGCAGTTGTCCATTTTCAGAGCTTCCATGATGAACATTACATGGTGTTGTTTCCGTAGATACAACGACCACGAGAGCACCCTATCCCATGCTATGTTGGGGAGCCCATGTGTACTTCTGCCGAACCGTCTGTTGATCGTATCGATATGTGGTATGAATAGACGCCCTGATGGAGTGTAAAGCATCTGCCGGGTACACCTCGAGGTGGACGTGAGTCGAATGAGTTCCTCACAGGTGAGGAAGGTCACGATGAGCCCGAACAGACCGCTATCATACAAGACCAAGTTTGAATCGACATCGTCGACTGTCATTGAATTACCATCACCTATAAAAACACTACTTGATACCAACAAGAAGGATCATATCCTCAGATGATCGTTCGGGTGGAAGTTGTGCACGCATGTCTGACACAACCGATCCTCCCTCTCAAATCTAACTGAGCTCTTCAAAGTTTAACTACTGATATCATATGCTCATGAACTAAACCGACACACCGTGAGAAGGATTATTTGATAAAAACACTAGGACAGTCGTGAATAGAGCTCCATCCTAACAGCATCGTATTGTCCAGACACATGAACAAGGCAGCATCGAATACTGGGCTGTGAGTAACAACCCAGTATTCGAACTTACGGCTGTGACTGTGAATAACGTCTTCCTCGAGGCGCATTTTCACATAACAACTAGCACCAGTGTTGGAGGAATATATGTCCGCTTTCCACAGCTCATTTCAGGAGATTCATCACTAATCATAGAGGTTTACAAGCGGATGAGAATAGGAGTATACAAAACCAACAATAACTTCCCAAAATTCCCTCAGAACTGTCATCTTTTCACCCACACATGTAGTTGACCTATTCCCCCCCCACTGTCACTATCTCAAACACCACACTGTTGAACGGGGAACAATGTGTGCACGTTTATCAAGTCTCAGTAGTTGTTTCCAAAACAGGAGTCCAGGTTCATCACTCTCTGGAGTACTCATGGATTCGTATTGTGCCAGGACCTCTCACGCAAATACGCGAAATACTCAACTTCCCCGAGAAAAAAATCGCGATCGGACGAGCTCTCTGTAGCACCAGGCAACACTACCACCTGGCCTTGCACACTGTCCTGCTTCATTTCAGACTAGACTCGACAGTGAATGATCGAATGGAAAACCATGAAGACTCCATGAATATCATATATCGACGTCGTCTTTGCTTTTCTCATTCAGACTGGGGCGCAACCTGCCGTCGTCGCCCGTCGCAGTTTTATCAAGTTCCCGACAATAGCGAGCAACCAATAGCCACAGTGACACGATTGTCACATTGCGAAAATCAGAAGTGGACTACTGAGCTTCGCAGTGAGCTAACTGGGAGATCGAAAAAATTACTATTCACAATGATTGGAATTCTTATAGGATTAAGTGATCTTATCGAATTATGAATTCTACGATTCGAATTTATGAGCTCGAATCTCACGGTCAAGTACTGAGCTTTGACCACCGTCCCCTTACGTTTCTGAATATGCGACTCAAACTCGCCAGAAGTACAGAGCTAGCCTTCGTATTCCATCAGGTGCCGTCACCTTTGATTGGCGGTCGTATGGGAGTACACTTCTACCCAAACGAAACCTCCAACTATTAGTTCACACTGTGGAGTCCACGCTTTACTTTCATAACAAACCAAGTGCAGAAACCATGCAGGAAATGCACTACAACCTCCTCCCCCTCCCGGAAGGGGAGGAGGGGCCCTCCGTAGGAGCTCGAGATTCCCCGGAGCGAAGCGACGCGAGATGCTAGTTCTTGCCTAAGGTGCATGATGCACCGTGCATCTACTCGGAGCAATTCTTTTAATTAACTTATACATTTTCCTTAAGCTTTGCACAAAGACTTCTATCATTTACATTGGTCAGGATCACGCGTGGATCAGGATCCGCATACCGGCCCTGCAAAGCCTCATCTCAAACGATATCCTCTGAGGAAATCAATTAATCGTAGGGCACGGAAAACTCCGCTCCGCTGTTGCGCGGCAGCATGTTTGACCCTTTCAGTTCGCTGCGCGGCCTGCCAGCCGCGGGCGCGAACGCCCGGGATATGCGCATCTAAAACTGTTAGCCGTTTCATTCGAACTACTATGAGTATTATAGAGAGCAATCAAAGTTTTACTAGAGATTGACTACACGGAGTATCGCTTAACTACTTGTTGGCTATAGCCTATAGACCAATTAATCCTCTAGTGTCTGCACTAGACTCTGTGATTGTGACTAGCAAGACCACTACTAGCATTTGAGCCACTACTACTGGGACTATAGACTACTATTGCTCAAGCTATAGAAGCGTGCCTTTGTGTTCGACTAGTGGTTTGGTCTACTCGGAATCAGTTCTTACGCGGCAAAGTTCCTCCCGACCTACTAAGCCACCGCCGAGCCGCGCATCGCACGATGTAAAGCGCTCCCATGGGCGAATTTCGGTATGAAGTTCAGTCACGAAAGCCTAGCATGCGAAATCTACCTCATAATAGAGGTTAAGAAAAGCGGATGTGGGCAGGTATAAGGCAGACGGCTCGTCGATACCCGTTATGGACTATTGTCAAATGGGGCCGCTATGCCAGAGGACTACGCGGCCTCAATGCGGATATCCATCTAGCGAATGGGAATGACAATTCCGTGAATAAGGGAAACGATTTCGCCGACGAGGACCAAACATTGGTGCATAACTCTGTGCTTAACACAATGTGCTAGAGATATCGCCAATTTGCGCTCGTACTACAAGCCTTGTAGTCTACAATTCGCTATAACAGTAAGAGTCTGGAGCATCTTAGGCTCCAGGATTCTTCAAGAACACACACACACGGCCAAGGTTCACCTTCTCGGTCTCCCTCAAGATCCTCATCATTCATCCCCTCAGCTTCCCCATTCAAAGCTTCACTCCCCGCCATTATCAGCTCCCTTTGTGCGTTCGTTTTCCTCTGGGTCAAGCTGATGATACATTTTCGTGATATTTTCCTTCGACTTCCGCCAGTGTCTGAGTCTCGATCTTATCGTCGTTTTCGAGACCAGATACACACCCACATGATGATAGTCTTACTGATGTCTTAATGATAGTCTTATGATCAGAGACTTGGAGAGGGGAGTGGATAAAGCCAGAACACGAAGATCGACGCGGAAATTGAATACCCTAATTTCACTCGTGAAACGTGAGACGATCTTTCCCATGAACCGAAAATCGTGAAATTCGAGATGTGGAATTACGTTCAGTCATTTTACAAGAAGCACGCGAACCCGAATTCACCCCATGCTCTCGCTACTCCCTAGCAATTTTTCCCTTTTCGTCTTTTATGTTCAGTGACAGTGCCTGCAGCACTTGACACCATATGGAAGCCACGACAGACCGCCGCACTCTCTGTTTCATATTAAACTCTGAAACGTCCGAGCGCAGCTGCTTGTTCTGTCGCATGGAACTGAGCAATCACAGTGAGTGCTTCATCAAGTGCTTGAGTGTGAACGCAATGAACACACGAGGCAGTGCCTCGGAGGCACGGTGCTACACTCGACAGTAGGAATTATACACGACAATTTCTGAAATTGTGGTTGATAGGATTGGTACTGAAATTCAATTTCAGTACAAATCCCATCGACCACAATACTGAGAGGCAATCAAAACTTGATTATCAAGTATTAACGAGTCTGGCAAACATTTTATCGACAATGGAGCAAAATCGGAAGGGGCTCCTCCAACGCAGCTCATCCTTCAATTTAATTGCCCATGATGACTTGATGATGAGGTTGATCTCAGATCAATCATCTGAGCCCTCATCGTTGCAATCTCGGCCGACTTAGGATCGACTTCGCTCTTCAATTCCTTCCAGCAGGTCATAACTACAACCGATGATGAAATCTCAGCTCACCTTTATCTTGTAATCAACTTGATTAAATCAAGTACGAATCTGAGCTGCTCTAACTCTTGATTGTGATTCGCTCATTCGTCTCTCCTCATCTTCAATCGTCTTTTCTCTTTCTTGCATCTTGATATTCGACGCGCGTTCTTTCAGCAAGGACTCGATCTTCTCCTGTTGCCTGAACCTGTCCAACTCCTATGGAAATGAGTCATCGGCCGGTAACCAAGTTACCGTAACCTGCAAGATGCAGCTGTTCAAGTTCTCTTCTCTGGAATCAGGGTGTCGGAACAAGGGTTTGAAAACGGCGGAAACTTTCCGGAAATTTTTCCGAAAGTTTCGGAAAGTTTCACAATTGGCGGTGAAGGGACATTCGCGTAATTAAGAGCAAATGCGTTGACACAATTCATTCTCGCAACCCTCCCTAGAGATCATATTGCATTTGAGAACTTCTTGTGACAAATAGACAAGAATCTTGTCTGCTGAATCAACTGCTGCGAACTGTGCCGCGGATCGTGCTGGGCATACATGCGAGTGAATTTATATACCGGCGACCGTCAACAGTAACTCGTTCGATTAGTCTTCCATGCTGCATCATGACGCCAGTGGCGTCGCGCTGCACATGACGGGACTCTAGAATCTAGATCAAGAATAGAATTTCATTCAACGAATAATGGGCGAGCGAGACTCGTGCATACGCGAGCGAACACCATCACGGATACGAAAGGAATTTTACGTCTCCCGATGAGTTGGTGTGAAGGGAAGTTGAGATTGGGCTAGATATTATGATTATTGTTCGTCGTTCGTCCAGATTTATTGTTATCAGTGTCATCCGTAGAGATTACTAGATTATTGAGTAAATACAAGATTACAATACTATTAATGTGACGTGACTTGGTCTGAAGGAGCCTAATTGTGACGCACTATGTATTACCTTCTTTTCCTGCGTAGTACTGATCGTGCAGGGGTTTTTTCCTAGTCTTTTCCCACTTGTTGGTCACCTGTTATCACTCCGATATTACTACTGGACTACTAGATGAGTACAGCTGATAATGTTGAGTTGCATGACGGTGGACCGGTCGCCGCTGCTCGTGCGTACGGCCCAGTCGAAGAGTCGCGACATATATTGGCGATCTCGGTGGGACATAAGGTCCGAACTATCGCGACTACTTTGAGAGTTAAGAGCACGGCGCTCGATGAGGTCTATGCTATGTTCGAGGAGCACTCCGAGGTCCAGGAGGAGCCGATCGAAGATGAAGCCGACTTGAGTCTGTTTGTGGAGTCTGCTCCTGAGGAGGTCAAAGAAGATGTATTAGATCTGATCGGAGACCAGGGCGGCTTTGACCCGGTTGACTGCGCTGTGTTTGCTCAGTACGAGAATCTCAAGAGTTACCTCACCCTCGGACTGAGGGCGAGATGGGCCGATCCTGGTGGAGTTAGGTCGATCCGACCCCAGAGGAAGCCGATTCGTTCTGAGTTGTGGGCTAGCGAGTACTCGCCCTTCGCTGGCGATCTTCCCGGCTCCTTCATTGAGAGGATCATCCGCCGACGGAGTGACTTCGTGAGAGGTCAGCTTGGTGAGAGAGAGCCGATCTATAGACAGACGAATCCGACCGAGCCTGAATCTGGTCCTTTGAAAGGACCAGAAAATTTGAAAATGAGAGATTTTGACGCACGATTATAGCCGAGTAGCATGAAAGTATTATTAATATCACAGTCTGATACGGCTATGTACCTATCATTCTGCTCCTCTCCATAACCTCTTCCTTTCTGTGAAGTTTCTACTCCTTCATTCCCAACGAGCACTCCCGCTCAATACCTCTCAAACCCAGGTAATTTCAGAAACGTTTTTCTCGCGATATCCTGCGCGTTCACATTCCTTTCAACCTATCGTGATGCTTTCCTCAACTGTTTCTATTTGATTAAATCAAATTGATTTTCGATACCTAATTCGCCCAATGTGCTCTTTCCCTGCGAGCATACCATTTCTATTCATTCTACAACGCGGAACCTGTCGTGTAGACTTCTATTCGGCAATTCGGCACCATCGAGAATACCGGATCCTACTATGGAAGATTTGATGGTCGATTTGACCCCCCCCCCTCTTACCGCAGGTATAACTCCTAACATCTATGCTCGGAATTCATAACGCTAACTCGACCCATTTCCTTCCAGGTCCAATTTCGATCGAAATCTCCTCCTCATCGTACAATGTTGTACATTGTACGTATGATTGATCTAGAGTGTAGATCATCGTATTCCATCCCTAGCTTAGATTTAGGAGGACTACTCCGTTTGAAATCAGTAGACTTCCTCTGGAAAGGCCTTGAAGTGGGAGCTTCCCTTCAAACTTTTATCAGAAAGATTCTACATTGTAGAAGTTGGGATGCCTCAGTGTAGAATATGCATCAAGCGGCTCAATTTGAGCCAATCACCAGCTGACAACGACAACGTCATTGCCATCTCATATTGGATCAGAGTCCCTGACCGTCTTGCCTGGCCAGGGTCCGCGATAGACCGCCCACCTATGGCAGTCATGCTGAAGAATCTAGTGTAAAATAATTATTTTCTAAGAGGTCTGGCCCAGACCGTCTGGCTAAATCGAGATTCTCCGCCCAGTACTTGAGTTTTTAGCATGAAGCGAGGTATTTCCTTTATTTCAAATAAAGGATTTATTTATTCAAATAATTGGTTAAATTACTTGAGGCATGCTGGTTAAGAGTAGCTAAGCTACTCTTTTTTTCTAACCATCGTGGGGCTGTATGAGATGAATGGAAGGTCCCTAACATCGAAAATGCACACTCAGCGAAAGTTTCCTGAAAAATTTTACTCGCGGAAAAATTTGGAAACTCTGTGATGGAGAGTCCGGCTTATCCACTCGGCCGTTACTCTCGTTTCAAACGAGTCGTTTAACTGTGTCGATTCTCTCATCTGTTTTTCTCTCGACTGCCCTGAATTTCAGGCCTAAAACATACGAGTAATTCAAACTCACATTCGATCGATTAGATGCAGCAGTATGACAAAAATATCAAGCATGTGATATAGTCTATATCATATAGAGGTATCACGTCTGTGTCACGTGGTGAAGATTCCATGTTTAATTCCCAGAGTCTTCGAATTTCACCTCAACTTCTTCACTTCTCTTCTCGATTCTTCTTCTCTTCATCAAAAACTCTCTCCATTGCTTCTACTATTTCTATCACGAAAAAAAAACAACAGTCAAGGAGGCCAACATACTTAAATTCATTTTCACATGAACACTCTACACCGAAGACCAAGCGAATACACAATCCCTCGTCAACATCTCCATGATGTACCAGCTCAAGAGATATACTTCTATGTTTTCTTTCGATAGTCTCCTTCACTGTGATTCATTCTTTATAATCTCTTGCTCCGGAGTTTCGGTCGACTCTGCTAATCTGATACAGGACAGCAGGCCTGCAAGGACCGCTTGGGACGGATTCGAAAGAGCCGTGGCAGCTCCGACTCAAGTTTTGTGACGCCAAGACTGTTGCAGCCTGCAACTTGCAGGGTTCTGAATAACGGTTATTCAATAACCCTAATAGAGCCAGAATAGAGCCTAATAGAGA